TATATATATATGTATATATATATGTTGTTTTTTTGTTTTTTTTTGTTTGGTGTGCATATTTTTATTCACAAAATAAATAGTACTTATTAAGATTTATGTGGTTTCGAATTGGCACAATGTGCTTGGAGAAAAAAATATAGTCAGAAAATAGAATTACTTAGAAACTATGCATGCACTGTATTTTCATTTTTCATTTATTAATTAATTTTTTACTCTTTCTCCAAACATTTCCAACCCAAGTTTGAAACCCCCTGATCTAAAGATCCTTTTGTGCGATGAAGAGTTTTCATGCATGCTGAAGGTTCTTTAAAGCCAGTGAAGAGCCTTTTTTAAAGCACTGTGAAGAGTGCAGATGCTCTCAGACACATGAAGAAACCAAATCCTGATCAAAAAGTATTTATGAAGACACTATGCTTCTAAGTTTTCAAAAAAGCGAGCAAAACCAAAGAGTTGTGATGTATTTCTACAAACCAACCACAGGAGGAGGAAGTCAGGTCTAAATCATCATGCATAAATGATTCAGTGTCATATCAGATGTATAATGATGATGGAACATGTCTCAGTAACTCATAAACACACGTGTTTCTTTACCTGAGGTCAGTCTGTGGAAGTTTGGCGTCCGGTCTTCTTTCTCCATCATGCGTCAGTGAGTCGAGGCTGTACACACACAGAGACGGACGGATGGAGTCGAGTGTGCAGCAATGCTCTTCTCTTTAGCACTTCTGTGTGTGAGTTTGCAGGAAGTCATGTGATGAACGAGTGGGTGTCGCATCAGAATGTGAGAACATGAACAAGCTCTCAGACGTCTGAGATGTTTGATGAGCAGTATATCAGGCAGAAGAGACGAGCGACGCATCTCTGGACTCTTACACTCTCTGCTGCGCTCTCAAACATGCTGGGTTGCTTCAACACAACTTCGGGTCAGATATGGACTAACACAACTTTTGGGTTAAAAATGTAATTAAGAAATGTAACCCAGCAGCTGGGTTAGTCCATATTTGACCCAAAGTTGGGTTGAAACAGCCTTTACACATTTACACAGTCATTCACGATCATAAACAATCATTTAGATTTAGATTCAAGTCAGATTTGAGTCTATTTAACTTCCAGTCTTTTTTTGTTTTTATTAAGAAGACAATACATAATAGTACATTTCATGAAAAATAAAAAAAACAGATTGTCTCAACTTCAGCGTTTTACATTGTCTCAATTTAAACCCACTCAAAAAAATTCCAGTTTCTTTCTTTCGTTCATTTTAATTGATTTTATTTTTGCATTTTAATTCAAGTTTGAGTTACGTTAGATTTGATTTTACTTTAATAAATAGTATATTCAAAATGCTCTCTCAATTCACACCCACTCATTTATTATTTTTATTTACTTATTTATTTTAGTATTTTAATTTTGGCTTCAGTTACATTTTATTTTACTTCTAATCTTTTTATTAGAATCTTATTTTATCAAGACAATAAATAATAAATATATAAAAATGGTCACAATTTAAACCCACTCAAAATAAATCCAGTTTATATTTTGATTGATTGATTTTTTTTTTTCATTTTTATTTAGGCTCGTTACATTTTATTTAATTTCTAATCCTTTTATTGCTATTTAAAAAGACAATAAATATCGGTATAATCAACATACATTTTTAAATGACAGATTTCTCAATTTAAACCCACTCCAAAATCCCAGTGCATGCATTTGTTCATTTATTGATTGATTGATTTTTAACTTTTTATTTGTATTTTTTAGGTTCCCACACATGCTGACCAACACATTTAAATGACGTTTTCAGTCATCCATGATTGTAAGCATTTAAAAAAAATAATTTTATAGTGATTATGACTACAAAAAGCAATTTCTAGCCAAGCTATAAAATGCATATTTAGTTCAACATTTCTAAAACGTTTAACGTTTATGCATTTGGCAGATGCTTTTAATGTTAAATATCAAATAGCAGTGAATGTAAAGTCTTCGATCCGTTCATTCCCTGGGAATCGAATCCTTGATCAAATGTTATAAATGCACTTATATCATCAACATTTATTTTGACATATCTTGATTTTTATTCATGTTTAGATTTTTGTACTGGAAAACAAGACAATCTTGTTTTTCAGTGTGGGATCCTTCCAGGCTCTTCATGTAGCTAAACTAATAAACATGCATTATTTGTGAGCTCTTAAGTGCTGTTCTGTTGCATGATTGTGGTTGATTTGATTGTCTACGCATTTACGGAAAAGCTGCATCACGTTATGACTAAAGAATCTCATGTCACACAAACAACCTTGAGCAACATAAACTAAACCGCATTCTGTAGAAGAGCTGTTTCACGCACATCCTCCTTCTGTCATGCTGAGAACCAGCTTCCTCCATCAGCATCGATGAACAATAACACGACCACACAGAAGCATCGGAACGGGGACTGAATTCTTTCTGATTCTGAACTGAAGCTGCCAGCAGTTGTAGCTTAAACCTTCTTTGTTATGCAGTAGGAAGTGTTAGAACACATTTAAGACAGCAGTGTTAAGTCGCTGGGGGATATTTGTAGCAATAGCCAACAATACATTGTATGGGTCACAATTATACATTTCTCTTTTATGCCAAAAATCATTAGGATATTAAGATTATGTTCCATGAAGATAGTTAGTAAATCTCCTACCGTAAATATATCAAAACTTAATGTTTGATTAGTAATATGCATTGCTAAGAACTTCATTTGAACAACTTTAAAGATGATTTTCTCAATATTTAGATTTTTTTGCACGCTCAGATTCCAGATTTTCAAATATTGTCTGATCCTAACAAACCATACATCATTGTTAAGCTTATTTATTCAGCTTTCAGCTGATGCATACATCTCAATTTCATAAAATTGACCCTTATGACTTGTTTTGTGCTCCAGGGTCACATATCAGTCTTTGATTTGTGTGGGAACACTTTTAGCTTATTTATTCAGCTTTCAGCTGATGCATACATCTCAATTTCATAAAATTGACCCTTATGACTTGTTTTGTGCTCCAGGGTCACATATCAGTCTTTGATTTGTGTGGGAACACTTTTAAAGTGCCCTCTGATTGTTTGTTTTGGTGTGCTTTACTGAAGCCAAAGGTTCAATGCATCGGCTCATACCATTTTGAAATTACTGAGGTCGTTCAAACGTTTGTGTGTGATTTAGTTAATTGCTGTTCACGTTAATATCATCCCCTGCTGACACAATACTTATTTAACGCTTATGTGAACATAAAAATACCATAGAAAGTATTCAGCGTGTTTCATGAGGTGATAAATCATTCAACCCCCCCCTACGGAAACTAAAGTGACTCAGTCCTAGTTAACGTTCCAAACGATTTGAACCTGTTCTTCTTGATGATTCGTTTGAACCGATTCGCGAACAGCGCTGTGGAAGGAAGGAGAGTCGGTTGAAATGTCAGACCGAACGAACCGATTCGCGGAACTGATTCAGATTGTTGTCGGTAGTCAGTCAGAAGTTTGTCGGAGTGCTTGTGCGGTGAGTTACAGATTATTTACTTGATTTATTTATGACAATCAGAGGTTTAATAGAGTTTTGAAGTGATAAAGTTGATATAAGAACATGAGCGAATCAACCAGGCGCGTTTGAACTTCGGCAGGTGTTAAAAACAATAAATTCTCCTCAGTTTAGCGTCAAAATCACGTTTGTCACATGTTTAGTGTTTACAGGGAACTGAATAATCAAACACTAGACATTTGAATCCTGGAGAACAAATATTAGACGGTGATCGTATCCGATCCTATAGTACTTGTGTATACCGTACCTAGCATCACATTCATGTAACTTACCATGGTAACGTTATTTATGATATACTTAAAAAATACCATGGTGTTGTCATTGTACCTTTAAAAAAACAGAAACAAACATGATATTTCCATGGTACTTGTCCGAAACATTTTATTTTTCGCTTCTATTTTGTCACGGTCTGATTCATTGGCTGTGTCTTAAAGGGACAGTTCACCCAAAAATGAAGATGTGATGTTTATCTGCTTACCCCCGGGGCATCTGAGATGTAGGTGACTTTGTTTCTTCAGTAGAACACAGATGATGATTTTTAACTTTAACCGTTGCAGTCTGTCAGTCGTATAATGCATGGCAATGGTAACAAAATCTATGAGAGTAAAAAAACATGCACAGACAAATCCAAATTAAACCCTGCGGCTCGTGACGACACATTGATGTCCTAAGACAAGAAACGATCAGTTTGTGCGAGAAACCCAACAGTATTTATATCATATTTTACCTCTAATAGACCACTATAGGGCCTTTCGCACCGCAGGAACCTTTTCATAGTACCAGAACTAATTGTGGAACTACCCACTTTTCGGCGTGTTCGCACCGCCGGAACTGGGAGCGATTTTAGTACCGGACTGCCTTTTTCGAGAACCAAATGAGCTCCTACTCCGGAGCAGGATCTAACCAGCACAACTGGTACTAATCGTGACGTAAGTAGACATTGATTGGCCAAACGCGTATGAAACCGCCCTCCCCCGCCATGATTTAAAACTCCGTGTAAACATACTGTAAACATTGTGTCAACTTATTTCGCAAGTCTGGAGAACAGCGATAGATGGACGGACGCTGAAGGGCAGGCACTTGTAGCAAATGTAGCACGGCCAGTTGTCGTTGGAGATTCTTAGTCCTCCTTTCCGTTCTTTCCATCGCTTTACGTATACGTCGACTTTCCATGTCCATTATTGTGAAACCAGCGAGACACAACAAATACACCGCTCCGATCACAGCGTCCTCCATCCTCCTGTTGTTAACGTTGTTCTTCTTTGTTTCTGTTGTTGAACGCCGCGCACAAATGACGTCGCTGTCGGCCGGCTTACGTCACTTCTTAGTACACACTCTCGGTGCGAATGCAACCCTTTAAATGGTACTGGAAAATAGTTCGCGCAAAATCGTCCCAGTACTTTAGTACCGTACATTTAGTTCTGGAACTAAAGCGGTGCGAAAGGGCCTTATGTCTTTGTGCGCGCACAGGCATCCGGTGCGTGAGGTGTGTACGCGGCTCTGGTGTAGTTTACGCAAGCGCCGGAAGTGATCTCTCGCGCGTATACGTCACTCATTGTTTACACAGTGCACAGTCATTGTAGGTACGACGGCTAATTAAAATGGTACTTACTCGCGCTTATCCGGATTGTTCAAACCGACTTAAAACTAAAAGATTACGTTCTCTCGCGTGAACTCATTCGGGAGCAGTGACTTTCCACGTATTCCCAGCTTCTGAGCCTGCTCGCCTGAAGCTATGCTTGATTGCTCTTTGGCTGGATATCAACACACCCATTAACATAAACTACGGCAGAGTGCGTAGCCGCGTACACACCTCACGCACCGGATGCCGTGCGCGCGCTCAGAGACATAGTGGTGTATTAGAGGTAAAATATGATATAAATACTGTTGGGTTTCTGGCACAAACCGATCGTTTCGTGTCTTAGGACATCAATGTGTCGTCACGAGCCGCAGGGTTTAATTTGGATTTGTCTGTGCATGTTTTTTTACTCTCATAGATTTTGTTACCATTGCCATGCATTATATGACTGACAGACTGCAACGGTTAAAGTTAAAAATCATCAAATGTGTTCTACTGAAGAAACAAAGTCACCTACATCTCAGATGCCCCGGGGGTAAGCAGATAAACATCACATTTTCATTTTTGGGTGAACTATCCCTTTAAAACCTGGATTTTGGATATCTGAGGTATATTGGGTTACTATAGAGGATTTTTGATGCCTAGGTAGGGAGCTCACTAGGTTTGAAACAACCATGTAGTTTGGTTACAGTTCAATTTGTTGCAGATTTGACCAAAACAAACAAAAACATGGTACTTTTTGCTTCTCTTTTACATTTCTATGATATACTGCCTATGTAGGGAGCATACTAGGCTTTGAAACAGCCAGAACGTTCAAAGCTTTATTTGTCAGATTTCAGATTTGTAGTGAATTTTAGTGAAGATTTGCCATGGTAATGTCATTGAACCTTTACAAAAGCATGGTATTTCCATGGTACTTGTCCAAAACATGGTAAAACAATGGTACTTTTTGCTTCTGCTTTGTTAGCGTCTTCAACCCAAACTGAGTGATTTATTGGCTGTGTTTCAAAACCTGCGTTTGGATATCAGACTCCATCCGTATCTGAGGTACTTTGGATTTTATGATGCACAGAAGTGATGTCTAGGTAGGGAGCTCACTAGGTTTTGAAACAGCCAGAAGTAATATTTGTCACTGAGTTTGAATGAGAATCTGATATTGTCAGTGTACTTTAACAAAAAAGCATGCAAATGCCATTGCACATGACCAAAACGTGGTAAAACCATGGTACTTGTTTTCTTTTGCTTTAGTGCAAACTGATCTATTCATTGGCTGTGTCTCAAAACCTGGTGTTTGTGTACCAGACTCCGTCCGTATCAGAAGTATTTGTAGGGAGTTTAGAAACAGCAGTTCATTTTCATCTGATATTTAGGGGAATGACATCAGAATGCAATTCATCTGAAATGTGAAAGGGTGCGATTGTGTTTTATTTTGAATGAATTCTGGCAGATATTATGTCATTTGTCATGCGCTGTGACACGAAACACAGCAAGCCCGTTGTGTCTCTGATTGTCTTTGAAGGTGAATTGTTTCTCAGGGTGTTTTTTGGAGATTTTCCTCTCTGCTCTTTCACCCGCTGTGTGCTCCAGATGTGTTGTGAACGGGACAGAACTCTCAGAGATGTTTCGGTGTAACATGACCGTACAGGATCGGCCGGTTCTTCACTTTTGCTCTAGTTCCAGATGTGCCCGTGTAATCTGAGCTCGGTTTCTTTGTTTGCTGTTCTCACACAATGACCGCGTCTTGTATAAATCCCCTCCTTTGGACACGTTTCAAATCGCATTTTAGTCCCCTAGAGAGTCGTATCCCTTCACAACACTCCCACACTCATCATCAGGATGTCTTGCATTTACATTCATGCGTTTGGCTGATGCTTTATCTAAAGCGACTTGAATTCAGAATCAAAGCCATGATCTTCATCTGGATGCGTAGTGTGCATACACGAAGAGAATCACAGAATAGAATTTACTGTATGAGGATTTGATTACATTTTAAAAGATTAATTAAATAGTCTTTTTGGATTACCACCATTTTTGATGGTAAATGTTTTAAATCATAAATCCAGGAAAAATAAAATAGAAAACCGAAATGCTGAAAAGAAACAATTTTATTGGGCTCTATTATTGTAAAAAAAAAAATACAATTTAAAATTGTCTTATGTAAATTAATTAGACATGCATTTTTGATGACTAAATTTAAATTTGACAAATTAAAATGGAATCCAGGAAAAAAATATTTTTAGCGTTTTAGTTATTTATCGTTAACTAAAACAAAAAAAAACAACAAAAACATCGAAATAAAGCTAAAATAAAATATGAATATTAGGTGAAAATTACTAACTGCAAATAAATAAATAAATAAAACTGAAATAAAAATAAATGAAAACTAAATATACCTAAAATGACAATGAAACTTAACAAAATGACTAAAAATGTAATTAAAATAAAAAATATAAAAATAAAAGATAATTAAAAATATTGATATAAACTGTGATGGTATATAAATAATAGTAAAAAAAAAGCACTGGCTAGTAATGTAATGATAATAAGTGATCTTTGTTTTATTTACAACTTTGAAAAATAATTTTTGACCTGTAAATAATGTAATGTTTACTTAAGAAAAATGTAAATATAAAAACCTTATTATATTTATGATGTTAATAACTGGAGAAACGCATTATAACAGTCTGTGAACGGAGCTGATGGAAGTGAGTAACAGTCTTATGTAGGGCTGGGTATCGAGTTCGATACTTTCTAGGCACCGACCGAATTGCCTCGATGCCATCGAGTATCGAAAAACGTCTCGTCGTTCGGCACCAAATTTCGATACCTAAGGGGTTAATCTCATCAGCGTCAGTGTGATTAGTACATCTGATGATGATGCTGTCATTAGTATATTTATTGTCAGTTTTCCTTGAAGGTAAAGAGAAGTTGTTTACATCTGCGAAACGTGTGTTTTGGTGAACTATCAGGAGGACATGATGAGCTCAGAGCTAAAAGACACCTTAAAGATGAGACTGAGATGTGTGTGTTAAATGCTGCACAATAAAATGGAGTTTACTGAATTACAATTCAGGGAAATTCAGCAGGCAACGGCATTCTGGGAAATGAAGTGGTCTGCAGTTCTGCATCCTGTTTGCTGTAGTTTATTTCTGTAGCGCTTTATGCAATACAGATCAGCTTCAAACATTAAAATAACTCTGTGTTAATAATGCAAAATTCGTCAATTATGACCGACTTCAGTTTGAGCTGTAAAGCAGCTCTGCAGAAGATCATATTGTCATTAAGTTCAGTAACGGTGTCAGCGTTACAATAGTTCATCACTAATGAAACTGAACGAAACTGGAGTTTAAAAACAGAAAGAATAGAAAGTCATCAGGAGAATCTGATGAAGCGTGGTTGCTTCAGTTTGTGGTTGATAAAGTGTTTAAACATGATTGAGATGACGTGAGTGTGTGTGTGTATGAGTGTGTGTGTGTGTGTGTGTGTGTGTGTGTGTGTGTGTGTGTGTGTGTGT